CTTTTTAAAACGATTTTTTTAATTAATGCTAAACCTAAAGTGTCATTTCTTTACAAATGATCACTTGTGCATACCTTATGTGCATATCCTGTTCACAGTGTACATGATATACATGAAATCAAAGGACGCCATTACCACATGCACTACCTTGCAAATGAAAAGTCATTTGCATGAGTCTGTATGTAATCAGCCAGGCTCGTTGTTTTCCTCTTCCAGAGCCTCAGCTTTTGGCTGCGACTTAGCTTCTAGGAAGTGCCAGAGGCAGAGAGCATTCCTTTGAAGTCGGCTCAGACTCTGCGCCACGCTATCATATTGATCAGCAGCACAAGTGAGACAATACTGCAGGAAGAACGATGGAGCGGGAGTGTGGAGGATTTCTGAGGACGATTTTCTTTCATTAATGAGCAAGAATCAAACATCAGATTTTTTCCTCTGCTGGAAAACATAAACCTCTGCACAAGGGTAAACAGAGTGAGTCTGAAGGACATGAGCATTTCAAATAAAAATTATGGGGTCAAACATTTTATCTGGATGCTTAGCTTTCTTACTTGCCGTCAGGATGTGAGATGTTCACTGATCGAACGGTGCTTTAACCGACCGATGCTTCCTTTTTAAAAGGCTTTGAATAGAAATATACACGCTCGACAGGTGAAGTGTCTACGTTAACAGAGGCCCTGAGGATCCTCCAGGCAAAACTGGGGGGATTTTAGCGATGAAAGAGGTTGTCTCGGTTGCTCTATAGTGTGAACACACCAGGAACTGACCCACCACTGACCCGAAGATGAAAGGCTGGCTGGATGGACGACGGTGTGCCTCATAGACCTGAAACATTCTCGTTTCTTGACTGCCTTTGAATCTGTCTATTCCCAGTTTTCCTCATAGGTCCCATCACTGTTTTAAAATAAGGGGGTCCCCAAAGAACATTTAATATTTTATTCCTTATTTGATTAAACATAGAGCCCTGCAGACCAGAATGTTTTATTTTTTAAACATGGAGCTAGAGATTTAATGAGGATTTTCAAAATAAAGGTCAAAACCTTTAAGTTGCAAGACTATAATTTGCACTATTTTAATAGTTTGTTTTAGTTTTTTGAGTTATTGAATAGTGGTATGTCGTCAGGCCTAGTATTCACTTTTAACAATTTAATTTTTTGGTGGTAGCTACACATGATAATGAGAAATTGCAGTCAGAATGGTTTTATTTCATAGAATCAGTGCTTCAGATGATACATTAATACAGATCAGGGATTATATATATGTTCCAAATAACCAAGATATTCAACACCGTGAGTCAATGAAAGTTAGAAAAAGTGGGAAATCTGTTCTTACCGCTTTAATTGTGCCAAATTAAATGTTATACCTCGTGTGTGTGTGTGTTGCGCACATACCTGCAACATCACTGGTTTTGACCTGGATGGTGTAGGTGGTGAGCTCCACCATCACTTCCTCGTCCACCACTGCCGGCATCTCGCAGATCATAGTTCTCTTGGGTCCTCGTGTCCTGGACAGCCACTGCTCGTAGGTGAATACAGACACCTCCTCTGTGGTCAGGTTACGCATGATCACCTGAATAAACACACAAGTTGCTTTTGAAGGGTTATCTACAAAATTCAATTAAGATAAATTTACATAGAATGTAGGATCCAATGTAAAAAAAAAAAAAGATATTGCAAGCCTTGCTGTGTAATATTTATCCTTTAACTGGTCCTGAATTACATTTCATTTTCAAACAAAGCTATTAGCTCGGATCTTTGCATATTTATTTGGACTGATCACTCCACTGGATGTCAGCCCAGTTCACTGTTGACTTCATTGCCAGCAGTCCACGAGGGCACATCTGCTTCTGATGCTGAACACAGAAGACACTTTGCAGGGTCAAGTCAAGACGATGTTCACAGTAACTGAGTCCTAGGCGCAGGCGGACACTGCTTTGATCGCCCCTGACTGCTCGGCTGCCCTGCTAGCGCTGTCCTTTTACCGGGGACGACATTAGCATAGGAAGTGTGTCCCATTTCATCCAAGCTTTCTGCCTGAAACTTCAGATTGATTGTGGAGGTGGGCACTGACGGTGTCCTGGCAGGGTCTTTTCAAGAGAAATTTCATTCCAGGCTGATGTACTGATGCAGCAAATTATCAAAGCAGAGCAATACACATCTAAAGGAACCTTATAATAAAAAGCCATCGCTTTGATAAACTGTGCCTGTGTGAGAGTGTATGTTTGTGCTATAACGGTGTGTGTTAGTGAGTCTTGCAACAGCATCAAGCTAAATGAAACAGAAATCAATACGTTCAGATCCCACTGTGTGTGTGTGTGTGTTTGTGGGAGACTGAATCATTTACCACCCTACTGCCAGCAGAGACAAATGTGTGTTTCTTTGTAATATACAAGACAGCACCAAAACACAGACCTGTTTTGTATTATTGATTTTCTAGAAAGCTAAAAATGACTATTCTAATGTTCCTCATTTTGTTGATTTATGTATATCTGCATTTTCAATTAACCCACTGTGAATACCTTTCGTTGTAATTAATACAGATTTTTTTTCTCTCTTTTTCATAATAATGTATGTTTATTTTTATTTTTTGCATGTAAAGATATCCTGAACATGTATGTGAAGTTCTTGGTGTTAAGCTGGGTAATGTGAGCTGACCTTGTCAAGAAACCAGTCAGGTCGACTGCCAGAGCCGTCAATTCGAAGTCTCAGCTTTCGTAAGGGTTCTATGTCGTCAATCTCCATGTTGAAAGTGTCCTCCTGGCCACGCTCAAACCTGACATCCACCACAAACAATGCAGTTTATAATCCAGAGCTTCGTTTTATGTTTTACAGCTGGGTGTGATGATTTAAAATCAGTAAGACACGTTTCAGTCTACCTGTCCTCGTTCTTCTCCAGCAACATTTCTTCTGTGCTGCCGTTGGCACCGAACACAGACATGAAGATCTTGGTGTCTGTTCCTGCATTCTGCACGTCTCCTGTTACCACCGTTACCTCATAGATAATCTAACGAAGATTGATATTATCTTCACAAAACTGTTTCCAAAAGCAGTGTTTCATTTCAACAGATTATTTACTCATTTTTAACATGATTATTGATTTTCACAGTTACACCCAACAATATTTTTGCTATTGTTGGGTGTAACTGGGACCCTGTGTACATAATTTTGTTCCACCTCATTTACCACATGTGGTGAAATGATAATAAACCTACTTGAACTTGAAACTGAATTAAACTACTGATATACATGCTCTTTACACTATACATTTCATCAGATAATTAGAAGGCTTTACAGTAATAAACCTAAAACATCAGCAGGACATAATAAGGAAAATTATTGATACTTTAAAAGTTTTTAATTGTTATGATATTGACAGCAGTCTAAAAATATCAATAATACATTACTGACAATGACAGTGACACTAATACATCTCATAATACACTCTTCATTTTTTTTAAATCTTTGAAACCTTTAGTTACCGCCGGTAATCAGTCATTATCTGTATGAGCAACTTAACATATTAGCTATTTGGAAGAGGTCTTATACAACAAAATTACCATAATGGAGTGAATATTTCACTAGAAAAGTGACAAAACTTAGCTAAAACGTAAAAGCAACAAAAAACTAGCTGAAAACATCAAATGGCTACCCAGAACTAAAAGAACCTGCAAGGACCTCTACTCCGTGTAGCCTCACTGTTCCACCTTCCTCCCTCTCATTCACACACATGTATTTTGTCTTACTAGACATTCATTCCTTTTCTTCCAAGTGCATACCTCCACCTCTTCACTGTTCTCACCACAGATCACAATGTCATCTGCAAACATCATAGTCCACGAGGATTCCTGCCTGACCTCATCTGTTAGTCGGTCCATCACCAGAGCAAACAAGAAGGGGCTCAGAGCTGATCCTTGACGCAATCCCACCTCCGTCTTGAAGCTATCTGTCACCACTGTCCTGCTGTCCTCATACATGTCCTGTACCAGTCTAACATACTTCTCTGCTACTCCATTTTTCCTCAAGCAATACCACACCTCCTCCCTCGGCACCCTGTCATATGTTTTTTCTAAATCTACTGACAAAATGGAGTTCTTTCTGACCCTCTCTGTACTTCTCCATCAGCATCCTCAAAGCAAAGATTTTTTATTTATTTATTAACCTTAATTTAACCAGGTAAATTCTATTGAGATCACAGATCTCTATTGCAAGGGAGACCTTGCCTGAAGGCAGCCTAACATGCAAGTTTTTGGTCACAGATGGCATCTGTGGCATTCTTTCTTGGCATGAAACCATACTGCTGCTCACAGATCGTCACCTCTCGTCTAAGTCTTGCTTCCACAACTCTCTCCCAGATCTTCATCGTGTGACTCATCAACTTAAATCCCCTGTAGTTGCTACAGCTCTGTACATCACCCTTGTTCTTAAAAATAGGCACCAGTACACTTCTTCCCCATTCCTCAGGCATTTTCTCACCCTCAAATATGTCATTGAATATTTGAGTCAAAAGCCTCACTGCCATCTCTCCAAGACATTTCCAAACCTCCACTAGTATGTCATCAGGTCCTACTGCCTTCCCCTTCTTCATTCTGTTCAGAGCAATATGAACTTCCCTCACACTAATCTTTCCCACTTCCTGGTCTACAGTTTCTATGACCTCAACTATCGTTTCCCTTCCCTTCTCTTCATTCATTATCTCTTCAAAGTACTCCTTCTATCTTCCCATCACACTCTTCACACTTGTTAGAACATTACAATTCCTATCTTTCACAAGCCTAACCTGTTGCACATCCTTTCCAGCCTTATCCCTCTGTCTTGCCAATCGGTACAAGTCCTTCTCGCCCTCTTTAGTGTCCAGCCTCCCATACAACTCATCGTACGCCCTCTGCTTTGCCTTTGCTACCTCCCTCTGTGCTCTACATTACATCTCCTGATATTCCTGTCTCCTCTCTTCAGTCCTTTGTCATATTTCTTCTTGGCTAATCTCTTTCTTTGAATATCTTCCTGCACTTCACTATTCCACCACCAGGTTTTCTTATCATACATTCTCTGTCCAGATGACACACCAAGTCCCTTCCTACCTGTCTCTCTAATTACTGTTGCTGTAGTAGTCCAGTAATTTGGAAGCTCTTTCTTACCACCCAGAGCCTTTAACAGCTTTTGACTGAATTGCTCACAACATTCTTCCTTCTTCATCTTCCACCATTTGATCTTCTTCTCTGATTTTACTCTTTTTCTCTTCTTCACAACAACAGTCATTCTTCACACAACCATCCGATGCTGTCTGGCCACGCTCTCCCCTGCCACAACCTTACAGTCTCCAATCTCTCTCAGGTTTCCTCTTCTACACAGAATGTAGTCTACCTATGTGTACTCCTTCCTCCACTCATAGGTCACTCTATGTTCCTCCCCCTTTTGGAAACATGTGTTGACTGCAGCCATTTCCATTCTCTTGGCAAGATCCACCACCATCTGTCCTCCCTGGTCTTTCTTTGACACCAAACCTACCTATCACTTCTTCATCCCCTCTGTTTCCTTCACCAACATTAGATCTGCTACATTCACCACTCTCTCCTCTCTGGGAATGCTTTCCATCATTTCATCCAGATATTTATCTTTCTCTTTTACATCACATTCAGCCTTTAGAGCATAATCACTGACAATGTTTAGCATCAAAATTTCTATTTCTACCTTCAAACTCATCACACCATCTGACATTTTCCACCTCTACTACATTCTTTGCCATCTCCTCCTTTCATACCACCTCTACTCCAGTTCTTTTTCTATCTACACCATGGTAAAACAGTTTAAACCCTGCACCAATGATGCAAGCCTTGCTGTCCTTCCACTTTGTCTCTTGGGCAAATAAAAAATCGACCTTCCTTCTCTGCATCATGTCAGCCAGCTCGCTACCTTTGCCAGTCATCGTCCCCAAATTTAGAGTTTCCACCCTCAGTCCTACATTCTTCACTTTCCTCTTCTTCCTCTGTCCCCTGACATGTTTCCCTTCTCATGGCTTTCAACAAACAGTAGCATAATTTCTACTGGCACCCTGTTTGTCAATAGCACTGATGGCGATGGTTGTTAATTCAGGCCTCAACTGATTCGGTATGGTGTTGCTTAGATGACCCCGCATATTAGTTTTGGCAAAAAAGTGTTTTATGTCAAATGTCCTTCCTGACACAACCTTCACCATTTACCTTGGCTTGGGACCAGAATAAGAGATAAACTGGCTTGTGCTCCTTAGTGGCTGTTTTATATTTTTAAAAGTATAAAAGTTGTAATAAAAGTCATTGCTTTATCTCCTGAATATGTGACTGCTTTGAGTTGACCTACATGTATGATAAACTAAAATAGGACAAAGTATGCAGAAATAACTAAATTGGAAAAAACTAACTATTTTGTGGATGCTGAATCCAAGTCACTCTTTTGTCTGTGTGATTATTTAACACAACTGTAGTGTATGTTGTCTGCCATATTGTTCCAGTTGTGTCAATTTGTCCAAAATCATGTACCTTTTGTGATATGGCAATGGCCTCTGCATCTAGAAAGTTGAACACTCTAGCAGTCAAGCCATCTCCTCGGTCTTTGGCCAGCCAGCACTTGCAAGCAAAGATATATTTGACCCCTTTGGTTGGCACAGCAACGGCCAGCTCATCAACGAGCCAGCAGCTTTCTGGAGTGGCTCCATCATGGCCGAGCTGCAGGGAGGGGAAGAACAATCACTTCAAGCAAAATGGGCTGTATTTGTGTGCATGCTGAACTGTGTGCGTAAGCATGGGAGTGCATAATCTTTACTCAAACTTTAAAAGCTTTTAGCTCACCTCCACCTTTATAAACTCTCCCACATCTGAACCGTGAACCTCAAATCTCTCCAGAGAGCCAGCCTGAAAGCCTTTCCTCCTGTCTGGCAGGTCCAGCCACAGCCTCTGTGTCTGGGTGTGATTGGACCCAATAACGATCACATAGGCCCTGCTGGTGGTGCTCGCATCGCGCTCCACTCCAGTGCAGATGGTAATGTGGTATGGTATAACTGTACAGGGAGAGTAGTCCAATTATTCACTCATTTGATGATTTAATTGTTCAATTAAACTTTTGCAAAGAAGTGGAAGGAAAAAATACATGAATGTTTCTTACTCGGGAGTTCAATTTCTTCCTCTTTCTTCTTTTTGTTCATATTACTGTCAACACTCTTCAGTGTCAGAGCTGAGTTCTTCTTACACTTTAGGCTCTCTCTAACTCCTTCATAACCCTAAAATAAAGAAAACAAACTCAGTGATGCATGCAAACTCCTAATGTGACACAATAATGGACAATTAAATAGGAAAAAGTAAAAGTGCTTGTGTTTGGAAGTGAAAGATGATGGTTTTAAGAAGTGCCATTACAGACAGAAAGCAGCTGAAGTCTTGATAATGGCGTGATGGGCTGTGTACAGATCAGTGCAAATATGGAGAGTATTAAATGCATTTTTTAAACTGTGGTTTCAATATGTAGCCTGATGCAAACTATAAACTACAACTCAGTTTTAAACTGATTTTACATGAAGTGACGAAGATGAAGTGAAGAAGATTTCCGACTGTTAAAGATGCATATTGATGGAGTACAAATGCCTGCTGCCTCGGCCCCAAAATCTGATGAGTTGGTTTTAGAGAAAGTTTAAAACCACATGCTGTTCTACTGCAAACAAGGACAAACTTGCTCTTGAAAATGTAACTCACTGCAGAAAGACAAAATTCAGAACCAGAGATCTCAGAAAACAAAAAGACACTGAAGCTGAAAAAAAAAAATCACTAAGCTAAATTTGCATAAGAAATTTAAGAGCTAATCCAACAGCTTGACAACCCTGAATAAGCCAAAGCAGTTTGTAGAGAGCTCAAGACGGACAGATCTGATCTTCTCATCCTTTCACAATTTTAACAAATCTGGAGAAAAACATGACCAAAACAATGTTTCTGACCATGAAGCATGAAGCATACCGTATTTTTCGGGCTATAAGGCGCACTTAAAATCTTTAAATTTTCTCAAAACTCAACAGTGAGCCGTATGTGTTAACTCTGGTTGTGCTTACTGACGTTGAACTGATTTTACGTGGTACACGGCGCTCAAAAATCTGTCAAAATGTTTTAGTTTCACTTAATACAGTTTATAATCTGGTGCGCCTTATAGTCCGAAAAATACGGCAGATTTAGCTTATTAAATTGGTGTTATTCCTGTTTAAACCCTGTGTGGTTGGATTACTTCTAAAGTGTATTTGTCAACTTTTATGTAATTAGCTGTTCTCCAATATTTGTGGCAAATTCTGTCATGAATAAATTAAAATAAAGTTATGTATACAGTATATAAAAATACATCTACAAACAACTCATAAGTCCTGTGAAACACTTGAATCACCAGATTTTATTATATAACCTTTACTATCCTTTACCATCAATATGTGTGTGTATTCCTTTGTTCATGTTAGCAAAATATCTCATCAAGTCTGTATTTTAATGAAATTCTCGGGAAGGAATCGTTACCTTGACATAGAAGAGTCTTTCAATGTGTCTGTCCTCCCTCTTTTTGGAGAGCCATCGTTCACATAAGAAGAGGTAGACCTCCTCTGTGTCTACATCAAGAACCTCCACTTGGTCCAAGTACCAGTCAGCGCTCACCATGCTGTTGTCATGGCGGATTTTTATCCTGAAAACTTGCCCAAGGTCGACTGCTTCTATTGTAAACTTATCAACCTAAGAGGGACAAAAAGCCAAAGATGAATGCCCTAACAAGCATCTATTTGTATTTCAATTTGTTTAGAAAATACATAAAAAATAGTCTCTCTTCAAACTATATATGCAAAACAAGAAGAGATGAATCCATCAAAAGCTTTCTTACAGAGCCCCGCTCAAACTTGTTTTTATTTGTCTCCGATTTGCTCAGTTTTCTCTCCCCAGTGTCCCCCAGGTCTCCGTAAATTGTGAGGAAGACGTTGGCGTCCGTGCCGGACCCGTTCACATCCCCTGTCATCACTGACACTTTGTACGTGTGAGCTGTGTTGGGGGGTGAAATGATCACAAACAAGCACATGTGAATTGGTCTGAAGCAATTTCCAGAAATTACAGTGGGAAAAATAGACAGTTCACTGGAGCTGTCATAACAAAAGCTGCTACAGTTTTACAGAGGACGGGGAACATGCAGGACACAACGTACTCTCCAGGGCATCCTCCACCTCCACCTCAGTCACTTTCAGGCTGCCATCTCTGGAAAGTTTCTCAGTGATGATGTCAGAGGGCACCAGCTCCCTCATCGTTTCTCCATCATCCTCTGACTTGGCGAGCCAGCGCTCACAAGGGAAGATGACAGTTTCTGAACCCTTAAAAAAAAATTGATCTGTTTATGAATTAGAAGAGAACAAGGAGGTGAACAAAACGTCTTGCAACTAGTCTCCCGTCTGGACTCAGTATTTGCGATCTTAACAGAATATCTCCACCTACTGACTGGAAAGAGACTTGTACGTGAGAGAGGCGATGCTGGAAAACACCTGTATATATCTGCTGCTTCATCAAATACTGAATTTCCTTTCAGGGACAAGATAAGCACTGCTGATCAAGTCTGAGAAGGTTTTTTTTTTTCATGACTTACTATTTTTTCTATAGCTGTGCCAAATTAAAATGTGTATATGAAGCAGTACTGTTGCTTTTGGACAGTTTCAAATAGTTAAAAACAAATTAAACACGGTAGGTTTAATTGTGATATTTCAGTTTTACTTACTTTACATATATGTTGGTTTAAAAATGAGCAAGAATGACATTAATTCCTTCAAGGAATGCAAAAGCTTTCATTTTAAACATAATTTTTAATCTAGAACAAAACAGATTATCCACCTCTGTGTCAGTCCCCTGCAGTCTTTACCTTTCCCTTCCTGAGCAGACGTCTGATTTCCACTCTGTCCAGGTGCCAGCCTGGGTTGACGCCACGGTTGTCGTGGCCAATACGGATCTTCTCAATGACATCCCCCACATCCTCTAACTGCAAAAAGAGTGGAACAAAACTTTTTTACTGAACCCCCCAAATAAACCACTTTAGTCCCTTTAATCTCAATAAATGCATGTATATATACTGCGTCGCATTGTTTACTGTACCTCAACAATGAACATGTCCTCAGCTCCTCTTTCAAAGTACATCCTCCTCTCCCTTTTGTTGACGCACAAAGCTTTCTGCTGAGTGCATACTGCATTTCGTCCATACAGGACAATGAATACATCGGCGTCTGTTCCGGCTCCAAACACATCACTCGTAAAGGTTTTAATCTCATATGGAACAACTGGGAAAAGAAAAAAAACGTCATGTGCAACAAATGAAAATTATATATGGAGCAGGAGTATTTGAAGCAGCTCTGAGGATTACATGGTGTGTAAAACTCTGTCTGGAGAGGATTTGGGAACAGGTCCCTGATGATGGCCCCATCATCCTCCCCTCTGTCCAGCCAACGACCGCAGGGGAAGCGTAATTTCTGCCCCTTAGACTGAGCATCAATCTCCATCCAATCCAGAAACCAACCTGCAGATCCTCCTCCTTAAACAATACCATAAATAACCGTGATACAAATGAAGATAAACTTTGAATAACTTTTGCATTATTTATAAAGGAGTTTGCAGGTTTGTCTTAATGTACCACAGTTGTCATGTCCAATGCGTAGTTTTTTCAAGGGCCCGAGGTCCACAGCTTCTATAGTGAACTCATCAATCATGCCATGTTCAAACTTGTTTCTATGTGTCTTTGAAGCTTTCAGGGTGATGATCCCTTTCAGTGTGTACAGCACAGATATTAATGTTTAAATATGCAGAAACTCCCACACAAACTAATGATCTTAAGTATTACCTGTGTCATCCTTGGTGCCATAAAGGGTCATGAAGACGTTGGCATCAGTTCCTGCATATTTCTTATCACCTGTTTTTATTCTCACTGTATATGTTGTAGTCATAGCTGCAACACAAAGAAACAGTGCCGATTTATCCAGAACAATCTTGATGTCAGTGGTTAGTTTATTATTTTCACTGCTTTTCTTTTTGCTGGGGCACCATACGGCTGCTCTCACCCTTCTGTTCCAAACCGAGCATAGCTTCAGAATCATCTTCATCTTCATCGCCCTTCTTCATGAAGGCTTCATCCACAGGGACCAGCTCCCTTGCAAGCTGTCCATCATCCTCATCAACGGCAAGCCAGCGCTTACACGGAAAAAAATACCTAAGAGAACATATGCGATACGAAATGAACTCTGTAAACCATAAATGTCTTGGGATACAAACATTTCAAAAGTCTTCGTGTTTTATTTATGGCGGCTGTGGCTGAGTGGTTAGAGCAGTCGTCCTCCAATGCAAGAGTTGGGGGTTCGAATACACCAGCAGTCACATGCCAAAGTGTCCCTGAGCAAGACACTGAACCCCGCATTGCCTCTGATGTGTGTCCAATCAGTGTATGAATGTGATAAAGCTCTGATTATTCTCTTTAGAATGATCTGTTCAATTAGCTTTGTAGAGATACAGTAGAGTGCTGTATGAATGGGTAAATGAGGCACAGATTGTAGTGTAAAGAGCTTTGCGTGTCTTAATTAGATAGAAAGGTGCTATATAAGTACAGTCCATTTACCATTTATTTAAATATTTCTGTGTCCAAAACAACGATGAGAAACAGGGACTGCACTTTATAGATGCCATATTTAGTACCATCCTACACCACATAGAGGAGCTCTAACATATTATGTCCTGCACATTGAATGAGCTCAAGCTGTTTAACTAAATAATGTAGATTAAAAATGTATATATATATAATTTTTTTCAGTCATTCTAACTTGAATGTGCAGTCTGTCCCAAAGTGCTGACGGATCACTGCTCTCTTTCTAATGTCTTCTTGACTCACGTTGTGTCGTCTTTGGTGTCTATGATTTCCACTCTATCCAAAAACCATCCGGCACTGGCCTGGCTGTTATCATGCCGGATCCTCAGCTTCTTCAGGGCCCCGAGATCCACAGCTGTGATGCTGAAGACATCCTCCTAGGTCACGTGCAAACAAAGCAGTGAAGGTAGGTTTAAATACTTTGAGACTGCCAAGTAGAAGCAATGTGTGCGAGATTCATATTTATTTTAACCTGAAAATCTTTTAAAATACAACATTTTTTGAGAAATTAAAGCAGGAAAAAAAATAGCAATGTGAACCACAAAAACAGGTGAAAATACTTTATCTGATTAAAATAAGATTAAAAACTAAACAACTGTACTTTTTCTTAGTTACTACTTTTTATATTCCTTGTTAAAGGTTAGTAAAAGGATGACAAATTAAAAATTATATTAACTTATGAGCCATGCACAAAAATTAACCGTAGTGTCATCAACAAGCAAAAATACCACCAATATATTATTTTACCATAATTTCAACAAGAATCAAATCACTGCTCTTTTTGCAACATGTACCTGGCCTTTCTCAAATTTATTCATGTTGTTGGACTTGCGAAGCCACCGTTCACCCGTGTCGCCAGTCTCTCCGTAGATATTGATGTACACATTAGCATCGGTCCCAGCGCCCCACATTGTCCCAGTGTACACATACACGTCGTATGACTTCACTAAAACAGAAAACCGTAAATTGTCAGTGGCATGTATCACATGATAGCTCTGGTCTAATTCAACATTGTTTCATAATTAAAACATCTCGTGGCAGGCTTGACACATCAGCGGGTGAGTGCAGAATCTTCATGCTCTACTTACACTCCAAGTCTTCATCAGCCTCCGTCAGCAACTCAACCACAATCTCCCCATCCTCCTCATCCCTGGCCAGCCAGCGACCACAAGGAAAAACGAATGTCTCCACCACTTCCTGAAGCTCCTCGACTATCTCTACCTCCTCCTCTTCTTTCTTCTTCTTTTTCTTGTCCTTCTTCTTGTCTTTCTTGGCCGTCTCCTCTTTTTTGACCTCAACCTGCACCATTGCCATCGTCAGTCGCTTGATGTCCACTGACTCCAAAAACCACCCGTCTCCGATGCCTTTTCCATCGTGAAAGATGCGAATCTTGTAGATCTTTCCAACATCTAAAGCTTCAATCTGGGTTATAAGAAAGAAGCAAAGTAAAAGGTTTATTCTTAAATTGGTAGTGGCATATCGTGAGGCTTCAAAATGGACCTTGAAGATCTCTGTGGTGCCACGTTCAAAATTGTTGGAGCGACTTTTGAGTGCGAGGACTTCGGTTTTTCCTTCGTCTCCATAGATCTGACAGTAGACATTAGCGTTGGTTCCAGCTGCTCGCATATCACCTGTGACCACTGTTACTTCATAGTTGATCACTGTGATAGAAAAGATATTTTGACAAGAGGAACAATTTAGAAAAGACAAATGTTCTATGAGAAAATGGTTCTTGTGAAGTTTTGCTTTGTCATTTACATTTTTCAATTTCCAAGACCTCACTAGGATAGATTTCCACCTCCACTTTTCCATCAGCCTCATCTTTGCAAAGCCAGCGGTGGCTTGGAAACATGTATTGCGTCCCATGAACAGGTACAGAAATCTGCACGCTGTCCAGAAACCATCCGGCCCGTAAGCCCTCGTTTGTGTGACCAATAAGAAGACGGTTGATCTACAAGCACAGAAGACACAGATTCATTGTGTCTGAACCTGAGTATCTGTCAGGTGCATGAGTGTCCAAAGAGCTTACCTTTCCAACATCAAAAGTTTCCATGACGAAGACATCAGTGCGTCCTGTCTCAAAGTAGTTCCTGAGGTCGTTGTCAGAGACGGCTAGTATCACCTTGTCAGTGTCACCCTTCTCCCCATACAGCTTCACAAACACTCTGGAGTCAGAGCTGGCACCATTCACGCTGCCTGTTTTGATTGCTATGTGGTAGTTGACATCTGATGACAGGTAAAATGATTATTTTTCTTTCACTTTTCACACATAAGGTAAGCGATCAGCCTCCTTCAATAGCATATGCATGAAAGTTTCTTGTGTGGATCTTACTGAAGAGGCGCAGGCCATCTCCAGCTGGAACTAACTCGCGAATAATCTGTCCATCGTCCTCGTTACGATCCAACCACCTGGATTAGCAACGTACTTTGATCAAATTATTTCTACTAAGAAATACAGCCGACTCAGCTGCTTCATAAAACTTTACTAAATAATAAAGCCCATGCTCAATAATCCAGGTATACAATCCAAAATTTTTCAGTCAGGTCATCTGGACAGTTTCTCACTACCAGTTTCATCTGGACAGTTTCTGTCCAGATGACCTGACTGAAAAATGTTGGATTACTAAATAATATAACACTAAATGGTTTATTAAAAGTTTTGGAATCTCAAACTTGTGAAGCTGTAGCAAATCAAGACATAAATGTAGTATTTTAAAGTCAACACACATACAATACTATACTGTAAATATATATATATATATATATATATATATATATATATATATATATATATATATATATATATATATATATTTTTATTTTAGGAACTTTTTGTGTGAATCTTTTTATCTGTTGTTGCTGTTACACTTGAATTTCCAATCCATGGGATAATAAAGGCTGTTTCTATTCTATTCTATTCTATTCTATTCTATTCTATTCTACATAAAAATATCACTATGATGATATTGGATGATGACCAAACAACATAAACCTGGCCTCCAGTGAGTGTGTTAAATTATGTTATTTAGGGTAAAAAATGTCTCTTTAGCCTTGTTTCTTCATTTAATGCTCTCCAACCCTCTCCAATGAACAAGGCAGACAGACAGGAAGACGCTTTCTTCTCCAGAAGTAACACTGCACCCAACCTTGCGGTTTGACTCCAGTTACAGAACGAGGGATCTGGTTGGCCGCATGCATTTAGAGTCCATTTGTAATGGTAAAACCATCCATCAGCTTTCTAACTACTTGAACACATGCCACTGTAGACCTAGTGAACCCAGTCATGGACAACTTACATCACTTAGTAGGGTTTTATTTACTTATTTATTTACTTTAGGGTATGCAATGGTTTTTACTTTCTGGGCTGTGGCTGAATGAATTTCACACCAGTGAGTTAATAAGGTTAATTAGGATATTAATGAACTTTTTCAAAAAATAAATAATCTTTTTATAGTAAGAATGTGATAGAAAAATTATGTTTTCTCTTAAACGTGTTTGACCATCATGAAACGTATAAACAACAAAGTAGTGAGAAACAGTTAAGCAGTATGAACCAATATCTATTTTAATTAACATAACTTTAAAACATTAAATAGCCATCAATCTCAATAGATTACTGTTTAATTCTGGCTGCTAAGCTTCATCTTATCATTTATATCTGTTTACAAATATTCTCTAATATGAATAAGGGCTTTAGATGTGATGGTGAGAGTATAATTTACATTTTCAGCCAGGAGTTTTTCCCAATTTTTATTTTTTAAAATAAAACCAGAGCAGCTGCAGCTACATATTTACAAACTGCACACATCATCTCACCAGTGCTTTAGCTTGACAAGAAAATCAAGAGCATGTCAAGTCATGAGTGCAATGTCCTGGCTTGCCTGGAACAGGGAAACTCAATGGCAGAAGACTCTGGCTGTCCCTCCTCCCTGACTAACACCTTATCCAGGAACCAACCACAGCCACCGCCACGACCATCATGGCCCACTCGGACTCTGCGCACCTGGCCCAAGAAGACCGATTCAATGAGGAACTCATCATGCTGTGGAGAGGACAGAAAGAAGTCTTATGCTTGAAGTGCATTTCACCATCAGGGCTCATTTTAAATAATAATTCACTCACGTTCCCCTTTTCAAATTTGTTGACATTGTTTTTGCTCGTAATCATGAGACGCTCGCCCGTGTCTCCCAGGTCACCGAATATATTGAGAAACACGGTGGCATCTGTGCCACTACCACTCACATCGCCTGTGCAGATTGTGACACGATACTTGATCACTGAAAAAGGAAACAGAGAATCAAAGTTTCACTAAGTAGCTACAATCTCTCTCGACCACATGATGATGTAACAGCACATCTTATTGTACATGTCTGAGTGTGTTTTACTTACAGGGCAGTGGCTCATCAATAGGAGCTCCTGTAGCTGGAAGCTCTCTGACAATCTCATTGTCGTCTTCGTTAATGTCCAGCCAACGGCCACATTCAAAAGAATATTTGTCCATGGTCAGCGTCTTGAGCAAAGTGACCTGCAGAAAATCCCAGGCTTAGCTGTCGCCATTCTGCGTTTTGGCTCCTTTTGCTTCTTTTAATAAATGGCAGACTGCTGCATTAAACTCGTAAAATTACAATCTGTTGCCAAACTAGCAAATCTTTAAAGCCAAAGTTTGGCACAGTTGTGCTTAAATGACCTGCTTTAAACTGTTATAAAACACACTGTCCATATTTTGAAGCTGGCTCTCTATTTGGCAAAACTAAGTGCTGTCCTTGGATTCATTCAGGTGAATGGTATTTGTTGCCAGTTGTTTAGCGTACCTTTTTTTAACTAAATAGCTTTATTTGCCAAGTAACTTACTGATGACTCTTATTTTGAAGTAGTATTCATGCTTCCATTGACAATATTATTGTGTGACAGGTATTGTAGTATGTCCACTGTTTTATTTAAGCAATTTAATACGCTAATCTCTCTAAAATAGCTTTTTTTAACAAAAGAAAATTGTTCACATAAAGGGTGTTTGTTATTTAAGTATGTCAAAGTTTATGTTGTAGATTTAAACCTGCTTGGATTGAAAGGATAAAGCTGAGACCATCCACATAAAACTTTATTATAGGTTTCACTAAGAATAACTAGGGGGGCAAAAAAGACTTGGGACTTGCAGTCAATAGAAATTATTCTGTGGTTGCCAGATTTAGTTTTGTCAAATTCAAAGACAAATACTTTAGTAGTTGTTGATTTTTTGGAGTCTGAATGTGGTACACTTTCTGTATATTACAGAAAGAACATAAGATGTCTAATTACAAAAAGACATGTATTTGCATTCTAACAGATTGCACGCCCTCTTAGACTGAAATATGAGATTAAACATAAGTATTTCATCTATTTACTTTATGGTCTTAGAGTAGAACTGTCTTACGTTGACAAATCAGACAGAGAAGTTTCACCTTTGCTAAATGCCAGCCAGCAAATGGATTTCTCTTCTCGTGCCAGATCCGTAGTTTCAGCAGTCTTCCTATGTCTGGCAATTCAATCTGCAGCGATACAGAAAACACAAGCGACATAAAAAAAACAACTCCTTAAGAAGGCATTAGTGCAGCAAAACAACAAATGATGTTCTGCACTCAGGTGATGGCAGCTGATTCAGGACTTACCATGAATTTATCAAGCTGCCCCTGTTCAAAACTGTCGGAGTTGTTTTCCAGTTTGAACTCATCAGATTTGCCCTTCTCTCCATAGATCTGCAGAAACACCTGAGCATCTGTTCCAGCACCTTTCACGTCAGAGGTCCAAATCCACAGAGACCACGGGTACTCTAGTGCATAAAAAGTATTGCATGCATGGACTAAAATGTGATTTACAGTGCTGTTATTATGAAAATGTCTAAGGTAAGTAAAATTGCCCACTTTTGTGTTTTTTCTGCCTGAGAGAGACCATCTCATACAGTTCCCTCTCGATCAATCCGTCCCCCTCGTCCTCATCCAGCCACATCCCACATGGAAATGTCTGCTCAGTGCCCGTGAATGGACAGTAAATTACCACCTGGGAGGGAAGTGAGCACTTGATGGATGAATGGCATTCTTCGAACAAGTGTACCAAAAAAAAAAAAAAAACTAATAGAACATGCCCCGTACCTTTTCACAGTACCATCCTGCACCTACGGCACCATTATCATGTCCAATGGTGATCCTGCTGAGAGGGCTAATCAGTTCACAAATCTCCACGTTGAAAATGTCAATCAGACCACGCTCAAAAGCACCACCCTCAAGGAAAACTTTCCCGCTGTTTTTTAATCCCTTAGAGCCATGCATGACCATGTGGATCTTAGAGTTGGTTCCTGCACCTCTGATATTTCCAGTCATTACTTGCACATTGTACACAACTCCTACAAAAAGATAAATAGTGGTACTATTTTATTACTGATTTAAAAGTGCAGTTCTCTTTTTTTAAAAAGGGGTGTTTTTTTTTAAATGCATTTAAAAAATGTTTTGCTGTGGATTGACACTTTCCATTGAAGCAGTGACCAAAAGCTTTAGGCAGATTAAACACATTTTATGAATTTAGCACAGGATTTTAAAGGACATGACTAATTTCAGTCCAATATTAAACATGCTAACCCTATGGCTCATGATTTCTCACCCATTGGCTGCAGTGATCCAACTAACACATCTCTTTGTATTTTACCATCATCTTCATCCATGGCAAACCAGCGATTAACTGGAAACTCATAAACTTCCTTGTTACCCATGTCATCTATCACCACCTGTAGGGAACAGAAGTATGACACACAAGAAAGAGTCAGAGCACATATTTAAAGGCCATGTACATATCACATACAATTTGGGTGTTTTTATGAGTTTGTTATTTGCTTCTTCTTTTATTTATATTTGGTTTGTGGTGGTTTGCAGGTGTGGTTTCTATGTTTGTTTTAGAAGTTGCATGTTCTGCTGTGTTTGGTGTGAACGTTATCTTTTTGTTTGGGCTTTATTGCTGAGCTCATCAACACCTGTGGTAAATTGCTCCTTTCTTTTAGCCTAATGACTGCTGGACTGTAATTGGTGTGCAGGGAGAGCATGTCCTGTATTTATTTGGGCTGGACATGGGAGGAGGGGAGGAGAGGTAGAGAAGATATGTCCCACTGCTCAGCTCCTTTCCTGCAAATCTGTCAGGTCTACGGTGAGGTGTCAGCATGGTGGTCCTGGTTTTAAGACTGATACTATAATATGGTATATGTAAAATCTGTATGATATATATATATATATATATGTACATACATGATTACCGGTATATATAGTATATATAGAATGGGGGCTCGTCCGGGATCTATTTTAATTTTTTTCAAACAGTTTTTACATATGTGTGCATGTTTCATCCATGTGCCTTATCTAGAAACCATCCAGCTGAAGAGCCGCGGTTGTTGTGACCAATAGTAATTTTTCTTAGCCTTCCAAGGTTCGGCGCCTCTATGGTGAACTTGTCCTCTGAGCCACGTTCAAAGTTGTCCTTGTCACTGTCGAGTCTTCTTTCTCCTTACAGGAATAAATCATAAAACTAAATGATTAGAACAGATTCAAATAACAATAAATGCATTTATCTGTTCAAGTTGTATGTTTGGTGGTTAAATGTTTTGAAACTTGATGATTAGCATTATTTTTTCCATTCCAGTATTTTAAAACAATAAATCATTTGTAAATCAAATCAAATAAATCTCTTTCACACTACCTGTGTCACCATATTCTCCAAAGATGTTCAGGAAGACATCAGCATCAGTTCCACTTCCCTTCATGTCAGCAGTGAACACGCTCACAAGATATTTATTCACTGCAGGACATGAAACATGAAAGATGAAATAAAAATAACGTTCAAATTATAAGGGAACACTGGTTAATAGTAAACATAAAAAGGACAAGAAGCCTAATTATTTAGGGAATTTGTTCTATTCTTATCCAAAAGTTCTTTGTAAATCATCCCTGAGATGCTTCTAGGTTAATTATTTACAATGGGTGTTTATTTGAGTAAATGCTATATTGCTGTGACCGCTCCTTCATAGCACAGCGTCTTTACAGTGTTTTACTTGATTGACTGCAGGTGCTAAGATGTTAGATCACTTTACACCAGAGGTCACAGGGACTGGTTTTACCTGAGGCTTACACTCAGGAGGCATTCAATTACAAGCTGCAACTGTAGGAAGATCTGCAGACTGTCAGGCACGGTGATGTACAACTGCTCAGACATGTGGTAATCACTGTTGTCAGAAGTATTTTAAAAAATATTTATCTCTTTTTCTGGTGGCAATATTTTCAATATGTCTTTTAACTTAATTTGTTAATAAATGCCTTTTGGGCATCTACTTCCCTTAATTCCAGTGATTTCTTTGAAGTGTTTCATGCTTCAATCGGTTGTTCTGTTGCTTTAACCTTGTAAATTATTGGGCCTGCTTTGGGTGTGTGTGAGTCACCAACATTTTGGGACGTCCATGGGGTTTAGGCTGCCCAGCAGATCCCTGACAAACAAGCTGTCCCCTTCTTCCTGGCTCAACCAGTTGTTACAGGCGAAATAATAGCGCAGATTTGGCCGGTTCACGTCCGTCACCACCACTCTGTCCAAGAACCAGCTGGCGCTCATTCCTGTGTTGTCGTGTTCGATCCTAGATAAGGCAATAGCCAGAACTTTACGTGGTTTGCAACCTGCAGGTAATCTCAAATGAGCATGTTACATTCAACAAAACTTTATTTTTGTTTTGTTTGATTCTCTTCTGTGCTAATAAAGAAGTATCTGGTCTCCCTCACCGCAGCTCAGAAAAGTCTTAGTGCAATGAGACAGTGTGATTATAAATAATGCACTCAGTTTATGTGAAACTGCCAGGTCGAATGAAGACAGATATGTTTCTAAACTGGATCCTGTTAACTTAAGTCCAAGTTAAAGTTTTTCTCCAACATAACTCATTGTGAGTTGCAAGGAGACCACACTTTAGGAAGGATAAATCAGATTCAGTCCAGGAGTGCTGCCAAGTGGGGTCTGGGTTGGGAAACTGGTTAAAAAGTCATTGCCCTTTCCAGTGGCCCTATTAGCCAGTTTTACAGTATGTGAATATTTTTATAAACATAAATAAAGGAAAGGACAAGCCAAATAAAGAGAAGTGACAGGGCTTTTCTCAATAAGTAATACTGACTGTAAATACATAAAAACTAAAGTAGACCTATAAATATCTAAAGATGATTCGTTAACTCCTGTATTTAGTTTATAACAACATAAGCAGTCTCCTGAAATTCTATTCTGGTTATTGGTTTTGGTTCATCACCACAGGACTTTCAATGAAGCCCATCCCTTACCCAATACAACATTTCTAGAAGCACCACTGATGCATTAAAAATGTAAAAGCTTTAGTATTATTCATAGCTGGTTTGATAAAATAGCTTCGCTTCACAACCCATTAAGAAAACTTTTTCAAGTTATTTTTAACAGCATGACTAAACTTTACTTCACTGCTGTTATTTTAATAGCCAGGAGTGACAGATTGTAGCATGTGGTCATGAGTAGAGATGTCGCCATGACAACAGGGATAAGTCTGTGAGATGATGAGTCTGAAACTGCAAGCTGTGATTGCTCTTGAACCTGAACACCTGTTAGTTTTCCAACCAAAGGGCAGTGTCTTTGTGTTTAGAAACTGTTTATGCTTTCTGATTGTGACGTAACTCTTCCTACAGCTAGACTAAATTCATGACAACAGATGGGGATTAACCTTTTGCCACAGGATAAAAATCCCATGAAGGCCAGCACTGTATGCCACTGATGTCCTGCGTGAGACATTCATAACCATGAAGCTGAACCTGTGATGCAGTGAGTGACTTGTATCTGTGTGTAGCATGTCTGTTTGCTGCACCTTAGCTTTTTTAGAGGTCCCACATTGTGTGTTTTAATTCGGAAAACATCCGTCTTATTCTTCTCAAATGCGGTGCGGCTTCTGTAAATTGAAGAGACATGAAAAATATTAAAATGTGTGATAAGGATGCATCAAATGTCTTCCTCTTTTTGATTTAGGGAGATGTTTCCAGACAGATAAGGGGGTGGAATTTTAAATCAGTAAATACCATCCCCTGCGACTGATCCGACTTAAGCTACCCTGGTGGTCTCGTGGCAGTGGTATAATATGAAACCACACTGCCTGCTCTGCCACTTCATCACTCCCTCCTCCTCTTCTTCCTCATATAATGTGCTTCTACCCCTCACAGAGATGACACTAGCCATGTGAGGACATCCTACTCCCTTTATCAAAAACTACAAATCAATTAGCTTCTTCCTGATTAACAGAAAAATCCTTTCTGTCTGAATGACAAGGTCATCTTTTCTACCTTGTCTTCCATACTTCAGCTACTGGATTGCATATTTAAGGTGCAAATTGCAATGAAACACTATCCAACACACATGAATACATGCTCTCATGTCTTTGTTTAGACACCTGCAAGAGATAATAAAAAACTTCAGAGTTCACGCAACGTGAATGTTAGAATTGCACTGAATTTCCAAAGCATTTTTCATTTTCCTTGTTTTTTATAATTATTATTATTATTATAGGAGGGTGGAGAAATCAAAACCTCCCTTACCTCTATCGTGTCAGAAAGTTTAAATCCATCATGACACAATACAGGCAGGACCTAAGGTATATCAGAGTAAGGCGAAACTCCTAACAAATGCAGCATGTTCCTTTAAGCAGACTCATTAACGTACTGTATGTGGATGGGATTTCATTGAGGTACACAGCAGTCACACATCATGGAGGTACTGAATACAAGGCATGTTGATGCGGACTGTGGTGAATGAATGGGACCACTGGAAGGTGTGGGTGACATGGTCCTGAGTGGGTGACAATACATTGGTATATCCTATATGCTGCACAGGTAACCCTATCTGTCAATCAATGTGTGCAGAGATAAAAGGAGCCTGCTGCGGATAAGATCCCTTGAGAGTCATTTGATCATCTGCATACATGACATCGTGGTCTTCTTTCATTTCTTTCTGAAAGGAAACGAAGACCGGCCATGTCACATAGTTCCTCCTTACTCCAGATATTCAGAGTCCAGCACTTCCTTCAGCTGTATGGAAGAGAGATTCCAGCGTTTTTAAAATTAATGTTTGTTTTAAAGTCAGTGTCCTGCCTCATGAGCCTTGCAGTAATCAGGTTAGTGATGCAGAGGAATTCTCTTCTATACAGTTTGTTGTGTCCACAGTACAACCAAACACAAGGACAGAATCATAACCATCATTTGGCAGACTGATTTAAAAAATACCTCTTCTCTGTGCTGAAGGATTAAAAAAGAATAGAAAACATACAAGGTTTAGTACTGACGTTGACAAGTTTCTAAACCTGCAAAGCTTACAAAGAGAACATGTACAACAACAAAACACAATATGCACACAATATAAGTTAAGCACTAATCAGTACACCTTTATATTACTTATGATGTATATTTTTAGCATAAAAATTTACAAGCAATACAGTGAATACTTGTACACTCACTTGCTTGCCAGGTGAACCTTGGGCGAGACGCCAAAGTCTCCAAAAAGGGTAACAAAGATATTAGCATCAGTCCCAGCTCCTTTTACATCACCTGTAATAGTGACCACCTCGTAGACTGAAAGAAAGAAAGCAGCAAGAGATGAAAACTCACACAATAATATATATATATATATATATATATATATATATATATCACATTCAAAAAAAAAAAAAAAAAAAAAAAATATATATATCACATTCTGAAACTGTGCTTAATAATCTACAGAAAACCAAAATAATGTTTTAACTGGGGCATAACAGCCAGGTAATTTAAAGAGATAAATCTGCAGCAAAACTGTGTCTGCTACAACACAAGAGTAACATATATGTCGTATTTCACGTGTATTGTTTTATTGGACGTGTTTTTGTGGAAAATTCAGTGCTATGGGTGAACACCAAAATGTGACAATGGCCCATATGACTCATTAAAATTTACAGATTAGTGCTGCTGTTTATCCTTCCTCTACTCTACCCATTTGTATTTGTAAGTATTTCTATCCTTAACATGTTTTTTGTTTGTTTGTTTATTTGTTTGTTTTTTGTATCTCCTCCAATAGAAAGTACACATGGACTTATCATTCCATGCTTATTTGTTTCTACTTCCTGTTCTCTCAAACCCAGCCAGTCAAAGCAGATGGCTGCTCGTCCTGAGCCTGGTTCTGCTGGAGGGTTCTTCCTGTTAAAAGAGAGTTTTTTCTTTCCACTGTTGCCTTTGTGCTTACTCAGGATGGAAGACTGTGATGACGTGAAGATTCGACACAATCTTCTTCCTTAGATACTGTAGATTACTAGTTATATTTTAAAATGTACCTGAATGTTTTTGTACAGTTCCCGGAGACAACTTCTGTTGTGACTTGATGCTAAATAAATAATCTGAACTTAATTGAATTGCATTGAAATGATGTACATGTTAATTTATTCCACATAAAAAAACAGGGAGTGAATGAAAAGTTCAGCTACAGACAAAAACGCAGCTAAACACAGATAACAGAAACACCGTGCAGAAAATTAAAAGACTGACATTGATCCAGAAGACAAACATGGTCTAAAACAACCTGAGCTATTAAAACCCAATTAAGGAGAAACTAAGATGCTGGATAAAATTGGAAAGTGAGTGCTCTGGTTAAACTGGGTCTTTTTAAAACTCTTTCTTGTGCCAGAGAACTGAATGGGCCAGCAACAAAACAAAGACAGGTCTCTCTTGTAAAAGAGATCTTTTGATCACAATGGGACAAACCTGGTTAAATAAAGGTTATAATGATGATGACATGTGCACAGATGTGTTTTGATGCTTCTGATTTGATGAGAGCCAACTTGCTGCTCCTCCTGAAGCAGCATAATGGCTGAGAGGTAAAACAGTCATAATAAAGGCAGTCGTATTGAATCTTGGAATTGCTCTGCCAGCATGGACAAGACGTGCAGTTGTTTGCACATTCATTTGTCATTGTCCACAACACATTCATTCATTTATATTTTTTAGTTGAGTACTACAATTTCTGCACGCTCTTTAATGCTGTTTTCTCAGCCTGTGAATCAGAGTCTTGAGTCTAGAGTTTGTTAAAAGTTAGAAATCACTGCTTTCAGTTTAACGTGAAGAAAAAATGGAACGTGAAGACTCACTGTATTTAACCAAAACTAGTTATTTTCTGAACCATAGAAACTAAGTCTCAGAGTAACAAATGTCAAGCTTTACAGGTTAAAGTGTCGTTAATCTCATACAAAAATATTAGTATAAACATAAACATTCAACATCTTTATTGTAATTACAACAAGAAAGAAGTAATAATGTGCTCAAGTGAATTATTAGTGCAGCTTTTGTGCATTTTGTTATGGAGCCCCGGTGGGGACATGAGGGATTTTTTCTTTTTCATTCCTTCACAATATTTTTACATTCCCTCGTAATACTTTTGCATTCCCTCACAATATTTTTACATTCCCTCACAATACTTTTACATTCCCTTGCAATATTTTTGCATTCCCTCACAATATTTTTGCATTCCCTCGCAATATTTTTATGTTCCCTCACAAATTTTATGTTCCCTCGGAATATTTTTGCATTACCTCACAATATTTTTGCATTCCCTAACAATATTTTTTGTTCCCTCACAAATTTTTGCATTCACTTGCAATATTTTTGCATTCCCTCACAATATTTTTATGTTCCCTCACAATATTTTTGCATTCCCTTGCAATATTTTTGCATTCCCTCACATTATTTTTGCGTTCCCTCACAATATTTTTGCATTCCCTTGCAATATTTTTGCATTCCCTCACAATATTTTTGCATTCCCTCACATATTTTTGCCTTCCCTCACAATACTTTTGCATTCCCTCACAATGCTTTTTGCGTTCCCTCACGATACTTTTGCGTTCCCTCGCAATTCTTTTGCATTCCCACACAATACTTTTGCGTTCCCTCAAAATACTTTTGCATTCCCTCACGATACTTTTGCGTTCCCTCGCAATACTTTTGTGTGGGAACGCAAAAACTTAACACAAAAAAAGTGTTACCTTGTGGTTCTCACCATTTACCTCGCAGACGTGAGCAACAATGAAACAGACACTACACCCATATTTGAGGTTCGTGGAGTTTTATTTTGAAACTTGCCAAAAAAAACATATAAATCAAAATATAAGGATATCCAGTCTGTGCTTGCCAAAAGGCAAAATTATTGTGAGGGAATGCAAAACAAAACCAAAATTCCCCATGTCCCCTCCGGGGCTAAGAAACTCAAGGATTTTTTAATACTGAAATGTATATTTTATATTAAAGCTACGGTTTGTATACATTATGTAATCTTGAGACTCTCAATCCTGCCAGTGGCCCAAACGGTGCTCCCAGTCCCCGAGTCTGGGACGGCACCCAGCACCTGTCTGCCCTTGGGCCTCTGTTGGGCTTCATTCATGTGGAACATAACTGAGCTTTCACCAGAACAATCACAGAGGGTTCCCCTGCTTGGCCCCTGGTCAGAGCCAAAGTAGTTGGCAGAAACTTGTGTTCTGGCTGTTAGGCCTGTGTGTCAAGAGGAAGAGATTTTAAAATGAGTGTGTTAGACTTTTCTGTTCCTTACCTTTCTTTTTGTAGTATTCATCTTCATATCCATCAGAGGAGTCGGTGTAGTAGTTAAGCAGCTCATTTTGGTAGAGAACAGCATAGTCCACCTGTTTGCTTTTGGACTTTTTCCCTTTTTTCTTTTTATCTTCATCGCTGCCTGCAGAGCTCTTCTTTGCCTTCTTCTTCTTCTTTTTCTTTGAGTCCTCCTCTTCTTCCTGCTCTTCAACTAAGGAGTCCTCAGCATCATCGTTGTGAGACTTCTTCTTCTTCTTGGCATCTTTGGACTTTTTATCCTTGGACCCCATCTCCTCCTCTTCTTCTGGATTTTCCAAAGACTGCTTCTTCTTCTGTTTTTTCTTTTCCTCCTTGACTCTTTCTGTCACTTCCTCTTTAGGTCTCTCAGATTTCTCCTTTTTGCGTTTGCTTGTAGCCTCATTGTTGTTTTGCTCACTCTCAACATCTTTACTTGAAACCACAGCATCAGCTTCAGCAGCATCATCATCTGGCTTCTTTTTCCTCTTTTTCACCTTACTACCCTCTTTAACCTTCTTCTCTTTCTCCGGGAGCTCCTGAACCTCTGAGCGCTCCGGGCTCTTGTGTTTCTTCTGGCTCTTTTTTCTTTTTGTAGTGGCCCCATGGGTCAAATCATTGCCCCTTTCCTCTAAGTTTGGCTCAGCTTCCTCCACTTCATCATCAATCTCCTCGGTTTCCTCCGAAGCTGTGGATTTTTTCTGTTTCGACGGCATCTTTTATTTATCCACTTCCCTGGCTTTTAGTTTCGTAAATGCTGCCTTGAGTTTCTAATGGTGTAAGACAACTCATTTGACCCTTGGCTGCAAGGAGGTTCAGGGCTTGTGGGGTTCAGAGGAGCCTGGGCATGCGGCACAGGAGATATACTGGCCCAGGCCAATCTGAGGGGGAATCACCACCTGATGGTTTGTTACCTGGGCAGTATATGAACATGCAACCCACAAGCACAACTCATGAAAAATTAGTGACACCTCTGTGGTCACATGGGCCGCAGGAGAAAGCCCTGTGAAAAAGGAGCCTTGCTCAAAGAACTTATCTTCTCTGCTGCGACATTCTCTATTATTCATAGTGTCAGGATCGCTTTACGGGCCGGGGGCGTCTCGCTTTTACCTGTGCACACACACACCACACACACACATATGCACACATGCACGCACGTTCTTGTAAACATACTTTTTGGGGACTTTGCATTGACTTGAATTAATTTTCTATAGCCTAAATCTAACCCTTACTCTAACCTTAAACCTAACCATTATTAGCACTTTCTACAACTTACCATAAACAAAACATCCCAGATGAATTGTTTATTTTTAGAACATAAAAATTAATTCTCAAAACCATCAAGTTGATCAGTCCAAATCAAGAAAACAAAACAATAATTCATAGTGTAAATCAAGACACTCTGCAACAACATTTTGAGACATTATTTCTCTCTTAGATTATTTGAAGATAATAAACTAAACATTTTGTTTTAGAGCTTAAACTAATTGCTGAAAAAATTGTATTTTATTTGACCATAAAAGAGAAGAAGAAGAAAACATGTTTTGTTTTAATCTCAGTCTTACATAAATCTGGGGTTAATGTTATTTGCTTAATGTTTGTTTGTTTCTCCTTCCTGTTACTCTCTAACTCCAGCCGGTCGAAGCAGATGGCCGCTCGTCCTGAGCCTGGTTCTGCTAAAAGTTTACTGCTGTTAAAAGGGAGTTTTTCCTTTCCACTGTTGCCTTTGTGCTTGCTCAGGATGGGAGACTGCGACCAAGTGAAGATTCAAAGCAAACTGCTGGCTTCCTTAGTAGGGAACTTTTACTAAATGGCTTTTTTTAATATGTGTGAATGATTTTGTGCATTGCCCTGAGACAACTTCTGTTGTGACTTGGCTATATTTAAATAAACTGAATATACATTGAATTGAAATATTGAACTGTATGTATTTAGATATTTTGTTTGTACTCTGTTCTGAAGGTTCTCACATGTTCAGCGGACGACGAGCCAAATCATCCCATTAGTCTTATTGCTGCCATCTGACACCTAATAAAGTGCAGCATCAAGGAAAGGCCAATGTTTGGTCATATTGGTTGTTCATCATCAGATTACCCCAGCGGAGAAAAACAGAGTCAAATCTCCTTTACCAACATAAATAATCATTTCCACAACTTTACATAGCAGGTTTTAGTCTTTTTATGACAAAAGAAAAGAAATATAGTGTAAAAGAGTTTGTTCGTTTTGAGTATCTTTACATCCTGACATTTTCTGACAAACCTAAAATTGTTTCTTTCAACTTAAAATGTTCAGTTCTGCTTTAAAACAACCAAGTCAATAAAAACATTAACTTAAAACCTTAATGTGGTAATTTATTAATTTACATTTAATCAAAATCATAACTGCAAGTGATAGCACTTCCTGCTTGCTCTCGATGAAGACATTCGCTTCACCCGCTCCTGCCTCCCTCCTGCTTTTTGCTCTCTTGTCCTGTGAACTTTTTTCAGAGCCTCTCTCTACGTATCTTCTAAACTGTAAATCATGTATTCTGGTGCATGCTCAATCAATGTAAATCATGTATTTAGTCAGCTGGTCTCTCAACACAACTGATAAAATTTTCTCGATGAGAAGACAGGGAGATGGAGGGCCCTCATGCCCTGAATGGACATTCACTTCAGGACACACCATGGATTCTTGGGGCCAGTGGAAGATGGTGTGTCTGACCGTATTGTCCATTGAGGATGTAGAAGACACATACATAATTGGAATTATGATAGCGGAATTTCTGCTTTTTGGAATCGGCGGGTTTCAGACTTACCGACAAATTTAGAAAACATCATCAGCAGATCTGGCAGTTTTGAAGCTGCCTGCCATGTGTGAAGAAATGTGCCG